GGAATGACCGAGAAACATTATCCTATTCGGAGACAGTAGTCCGCGGCAACCCGAGTAACTTCGCCGTCCTGCAGGTTTCGAAAGCTAATAATTATAAGAGCGCTCGGATCCAGACCAATCGCTGTGAACAATATCTTGAAACTGTCATGTCCTGTATTATTGGGTAGCTATCGGGCCTAGGCCTTCCTGTAAACAACAAAAAGAAATCAGGCGCTCAGCGGATTACATCTATGCGAGTTTATGCATCGCATATTTTAGACTTGGTCGTCGATATTTGATGCGATGACCAAGGGTGAAGGTAGTGCGGCAGAGCATACGACCATATTACTATTGGCATAGGCACCATGTCACTGTGACTGCCGCGGTGCGAAAGGATCCCACCAGATCTCATGGTGATGCATTAGCCATGAGAATAGGCACTGGACAGCGGACGCTCAGTATCAAGACGTCATTACGCTATGTTATTATCGCACCCTCCGATAGGCCATCAGTGAGAGCTGTGAGATGATGGGCTAGGCAATGATGCAATGACAGCCTGAGAAGCAACCAATCAGCAGCTGGACAAAAAATATGACACTGAGCTCATTAGGAGGCCATAACTGTGTGGACCTCCTGGCATTGCTAGGGAGATTTCTGAGCAGGGCAATCAGAATTTCGTTGATGCAGTTTCCGTCAGTTGTGCACGGTGTCCGTGTTTAGCGAAAAATTAGCAACCAATGTGAGTCGGAGAACGTATTTCTGGCAGCGTGGTTGTTATGGTGCACCGTTTGTTGGAGTTGTTTCAGTGATACCACCTCGGACTTCCTGTTGCAAGGTTTGAGATGTGCGTGTAAGGTTATAACTCGGGACTGAGATCGGGTAATATCACCTCGGATTTTAGAAGTTCTACATATGGGTCATGTAGTCTCCCAGATCATTGTAGACGAAGTAGGATAGTCGTTCCGCATGCACGAGCACTGGTACTGGTGTTTAACGACTTGCAATGTTGTTGGCAGAACTCGGGAGTTTTGCTAACTGGTCTGGCAAAACTCAGGTGCAAGGAACTCCAGGGCATCCGAGACTCACGGAGATATAATTTAGACATGATAACACAGATAGTTTGAATTCAACAAACCACGACTGTTGACACCCAAAAGTAAGATGGTGCTAGCGACCAAACAGACGGCCTTTCATGGTGGCAATACCATCCGATCAATTCCGAAATTCACCCACTCAAGCTCTTTGCTGTGATGATCCTCTCAATTGTCACGGTAGGGCACGCAGGCGAAGTAGGGCGCACATTCTCTGACCTCGGTACAACACGATCTGCGTGACGGTATAATCGCTCAGTCGACACATTCGAAAAATTCGTGCAAACCTTCGACACCACAGCACCATGAAGCTGCAGAGGTTGGGAAGTCCACCTGCCGTAGACATAGTACTCACATGCACACTTGTGGCATTACTGTGGAGATTGCACAGGATCTTGAGGCATGCTTTGCGTGGGCACCTCAGCTCTCGACCAAGCGTCGTGAGGCAGATGACCTTCTTGCGGGTCTAGAGAGTATTTTGCCTGACGACGTTGCCGCTGAGTTTGCGGCTCTCGAAGGGTTGAAAAGGACTGAAAAAGTTCAGATCATCGACAAAGTTGAAGTGCTCGAGGGAAATACTTTTGATTTTAGCAAATTGGATCGGGTCGGACAAGGAATAATACCAAAGGCTATTCTACTAGTAGATGAGGTTGAGGTGGTTGGTTAATTACAATGGCAACATTGATGTCATCATTAAGAATGTCGTTCACATAGTTTAGGACTTGACGGAGTTTGAAAAGCTAACTTGGCAGCTCGCAGTACAAGAGTAGTGTCCAGCCGTCCATGTCACATACCCGTTTCCTCACTCAGTCAAATCAATACTTTCGCTTGTGCCCCCCTCCAACGTTAACACCGCTAGTAACTGTTCAGTGGGTAAATGCACTATTTCTAGCATGTTCTTGTAGGTTGCTATTTCCTATCAACAGGCAGGTCCTACAGAATATCACAATCACTTGCGGTTTTGCACTGGCAGCCTTACAAATTTTGTCGTTCGGCGATTGAAACAGGCCTTGAAGCTTGGAGCACTGTTGTGTTTAATATCTGATGCTACTGCTGTCCTTCGATTAGGATAGCGGCATGGGTACGGGTAAAACCACGGTGTATCGCTGACGGGTCTGGCGGGTCTGGGTACGGTGTGGATTGTGGAGACCCGCACGTACACTGTGCTTACCCGTGGCAGTTTGCGGTGTTGGACGGGTGTAGAGACCCGCGGGTCCACCCGTGCTTAACCCTACCTTCAATCTGAAGGTTACCCAAATTTTGGTATGCAATAGTTTTGTAGCGATCGAAATAACCGAGGCTTTTTCTACATAGGTTCTATAGAGTCCTTTACCTGCATAGATGGACCAACATGTCGATTTCGGTTGTCAAACTCATAAATTCAAATTGATTCTCAGAATGCTCTTCACTGTCAGCGAGTGTCACCGTAGTCGCTGTAATACTAGCTCTTTCGCCTCACAAATTTGTAAGTTAGTCGCCGCCAAAAAAGTCCTGTGTATGCAAAACACTGCAGCCTTTCCATGCGCCTTGATCATTTCCTTTCTCTGCCAACTCAGGTCACGCGTGTTTCACGTGACCATCTAGCGTGTTGTTGAGACTTTTGTTGCCACTTATACAATCATCGTTTCACTAACCAAAATTTACTCTTAATCCAAGGCTTTCTCTGTTCGACACATGGAGAATACAGAAGACGACGCGTTCAAGCAAGTTCCTGTGATCGTGGACTGTGACGTCCTAGAGGCTGCTAAAGAGAATATCCAGCCACTTGCATCCGGTCGTCGGGTTACCGCTCTTTCAGCTATCCTGCAAACTCCTCACGCACAGCGGGATGCCCAACTACTCGCAGCGCGTAAGCGCTTCCGTACGAACATCCAAATTGCACTCGAAGACGAGGATGATGATCCACTGGAAGCATACTCGCGTTTTGTTCAATGGACTCTCGAAAATTACCCCCAAGGACAAAGCGCGGAGTCTGGACTCTTAGAGCTTCTGGAAGAGGCGACAAGGGTATTAAAGGACAACCGCGAGGGACGATGGAAAGGGACGTCGATGTACCTCAAACTTTGGGTACTTTATGCGAGCTATGTGGAGAAACCGACTATCATCTACAAATTTTTGCTCGCAAATGATATTGGAACCGATCAAGCTCTGTTGTATGAGGAGCATGCGGCTGCACTTGAGAGAGCCGGACGGTAAGCTTCAGCCTGATTTCACCAAGGCTCATTTTGAAGCAGGGTTTTCGTCGCAGGCGTAGCGAAGCAGATGCTGCATATCTACTTGGAATTGCACGTCAGGCTTCTCCCCTTGATAAACTTGTAGCCAAGCACAGTGAATTTCAGAAACGAATGATGACTGCAGCCACAATACCTTCGCAGCCCGCCCCAAATGCTCTCCCACGTAGAACAGCGTTGGGTGTGACTTCCTCATCTTCCGCTGCAGTACCTTCGTTCGCATCTATTTCTCAAGCCCCTTCATCGTCATCGCAAGCCGATGTCAGTGGGTCTAGACGTGGGCCACGGCTAGGCACAAACGGCCGTCTCCAGATTTTTGTGGACCCTTCTGGAGCAGAATCAGCCGACGCAACGGATTCAGTCACACCTTATCCTGATATCGGAACACGTAAATCTCGGGTCAAAGAAAATATACCTGAGGTTAGCAAAGCAGCAGGTAGCACCTTAAAACAGGCAGGTCGCACTCGACGAATTGCGTCAGGGTCGAATTCGGGAACAATTGTATCAAAAATTGTGCCTTTCAGAGACCCCGGACCAGACATAGACGTGGAAGGGAAGGCTGTGATGGCTCCGCCTCCCGTTCCCATGTCCAGGCAGAAGGACGCAGCACCGAAGACTCCCACGAGGACCAGCGCCATCATACCATTCCATGACGTCCCCGACGGTGGCGGCATTCCGTCCACTCCTCAATTCACACCCTTTCGAGATGAGGTAAGTAAACTTTGCTGTATGGCCGCACAAACGTTCCTGACAGCTGCTTGATCGATTTAGCCCGAGATAAACACATCAGCTGCAATGCTTGCACCTGAGGTCATGAAACCAAAAACTGTGGGGGGACCTGTGATTGGATCTGAAGCAGAAGCGTTGAGAAAAGATCCTCTAAAAAACTATTCTACCGAAGAATGTCCACGAGATGACTGAATGATCGTTTCCCCCTTGTTTTCCTCTAGGCTATCGTCGGTTGTGCTACATTGTTGATCTACATTCATTTTCCCCTCCTGCTTCAACACCTTGTGGTGGTCTTGGGTTGTCTCAAGTTCTGTAAAAGTACTCTTAGCAGATCACGACCCTAGTGCTAGCATCTGTAGAACAAATATTGTTAACCTAGCCGCCAGGCTGGCTAAAGACTGCTCACTCGTTGTCAACTGATGGTTGCTGATTTCCTAATATGTCTTTCCCCTGACACGACCGTCATCCGCAGCCCAGACTTTTGTTTCATCGATCAGCCTACGCATCTGACCTTGTTAGAGACATTTACCAAGTTACAGTGATTCCTGCAATGTCATCTAAGCGAATTGCTTTATATCCTTGCTCCCCCAATACCGTACGTGGAACATCGACAAAGATCTCAGCCAGCAAAGATAAGGTTGTTTATGCTAATGGCAAAACCGTGATCGTGCGTTGTCACCCTTCTGACATACACCCTCATGCTGTTCGCTCATGGGCTATGTACCTCTAGATCCGTGACCTTAAGGTGAGGATTGATCTCGAGGCTCGTATCCAATATTTATTCAATGCTGGACCACCTAGAATGCCGCCCTATCAACGACTTTCTCTGGTCACGCATACAACACGACTGTTGCACGATTCTCACCATCTGGATTCTACTGCGCATCTGCAGACATTACTGGAACAGGTGCGCATCTACCAGTGTCGTACGTGATAACAGTCGCTAATCAAATCTAATCCTGCAGTCAAGATATGGGATACCATAGGCGAGGATCAATCTGTGAAGGGAGAATACAAAGTTCTCTCTGGGAAAGTGTAAGTAGTATACCCTGCTCATTGGAGGTTTGTCTGAGTGACACTACTCGCAATCGGTAGCAACGACCTGGCTTGGGATGGCGAAAGCAAGCGGATAGTTGCGGTTGGCGATGGCAGAGAGAAGTGTGCAGAATGTTTATGCAGAATAGGCAGAGACTGATAGTGGTTTTGAAGATTTGGTCACGCTTTTCTTGCTGATTCCGGCGCTTCGACGGGTCAAATCAGTGGACACTCAAAGGTTTGTCGTCGCCATTTTCGTGAACCAGCAAGCTCATCTTGGGTAGGTTATCAATGCTGTTTCTATTAGGTTTCAGCGCCCCTTTAGGGCGGCCACTGCCTCCGATGATAATTCCATCGTCTTTCATCAAGGTAATCGGCCTTTAGGGATATCGAATTAACACTGAATTCTTGGCATCCTGCAGGGGTCCCTTTCAAATACGATAAGGTCTGAAACTTCTCTGGGGTATTTGAGTATTGACTATAAAGTGTGTGAAGACCATCAGAACACACACCAAATTCGTGCAAGATGTTCAATTTGGACCCTCAGGCGACCATTTCGCCAGTGTAGGCTCAGACTCGAAAATCTTCCTCTATGATGGGAAGACTGGTGAGACAGTTGCAGAGTTTACTGATAACCCACACAAAGGGACTATTGTGAGTTGTGACGAAAGCATAATTCGAGTTGGGAGACTCACATCGCCTCTACTAGATGTCCTGCTCTTGGAGCCCAGATAGCAAGTCATTCTTTACGGCTTCTCTGGATTGCACTGTCAGACTATGTACGCATTCAAAGGTACTGCGCTTTACTAACTTGATTGAACACGTCGTATCCAGGGGATATCGAGGCCCGCAAGTCGTTGCAGACTTGGACGGTCGGCAGTGGGGTGCCCAATCAGCAAGTTGGCGGTGTCTGGAGTGGCATCAGTGACCTTGTTTCACTCTCTATGTCTGGTGATCTGAACATCTTTGACCCGCGCACGGGAGATAAGCCAACTCGCATCCTTCAAGTATGCACTCCCTTCCTGAGTTCATGGTACTTCGCATGACACTCTCCGTACAGGCTCCACAGAAAGCGATCACTGCAGCCTCGCCAACGTCTTCGAGCACGTTCTTTGCCGGGTCAGCTGACGGGCGAGTGTTATCATACGACACGGACTCGACATCACCTTCAAATGCTGTTCAGCTGGTGGGAGGCACGCCACACACCAGTCTCGTATCTGGCATGGCAACCGCAAGCTCTGGGAAGGTATTCACCACGGGTTATGACGACCAGATCCGAGAGATTGAGGGATTCACATACACGTCTGTTGTCTCCCATTCCGTGTCGTTGCTTCATTGAAATGGGTGTGATAGGCCTGCTTCCATCCCTTCATTGTCGCAGCCCAAGTCTGTTGCGGTGACATCTGACGAAACCGTGTTTGTCGCTGGCATCACCTCGGTTGAAGCAATCCGTCACAATCAACGGGTTTTCGAGCTGAAACCACCATATGCACCAAATGTAGTGGGCGCTGAGGGAATTGTGGTTGCAGTCGGTGGAGAGGTGAGCATCTCCGTTTTATAAACTGTGATTTGTTGATTTACCGTGTCCAAGGATAAGCGCGTCCACGTCCATACTTGGAACGGCAATACATTAACAGAGACACGGGTACTTCCAGAAAGCG